AGCATGGTGGTGTTGGGTCGACGGTTGGACTCGATGATCTTAGAGGTCTTTTCCAACCTTAACGATTCTGTGATTCTTTAACTCCTTCCCGCCCAGCTGGGAGAGGCCTCACGTCATGTACGGGCAGCTGCTGGACTGGCTGCGCTACCTGGTGGCCTGGCAGCCGGTGATCATCGGACTGGTCCAGGGCATCAACTACATCCTGGGGCTGGAGTAAGGGCAGGCGGTGGGGAGCCGTGGAGCCACGAGAGGACGCGTGCCCAGGGCAGGGGACAGCAGCTGGCCGGGGACTCTCAGGACCTCGGCCGCCCCCGAGGACCACGGCGTCGGGGGCCGAAGGAGGACTCTGCCCTGGGGCCCTTCCCGATTTTTTTTTTTTTCTTTCTAAGCTACACTTTTAAAGTTACTTGTGAAAAAGGGGGAGTCTTTTTTTTTTTTTTTTTTTAAAAAAGTTTAATGAGCGTATTTAAAATTTAAAAGAGACGCTTGTCCCGTTTCCCTCCCCCAGCCCCTCGCCGGCCCTTCGCACTGCCCCGGTGCGTGCCGAGCTTTTGGCTGGGGGCTGTTCTCTTATCTCCCTCTCCTGCTGCTCTGCCGGGAGAGGCGACGGGGAGAGGGCCGAGGTTTTGCCGGCTCCCCGGAGCAGCCCTGCCGGCAGTGAGGAAGGGACACGGGGAAGCAGGGTCAGGGTTGGGCCCCTCTGCTGCGTGGGGCTGCGGAGAAGAGGCTGCCTGGGGGTGCTGGAGCCCGGCGCCCTGGAAGAGGGGACAGGGGGGGACGCTTGGTTGCCCCGGCACTGAGCGCCACGGGCCGGACTCTTGGCTGCCAGCTCCCCTCCCTGGCGCCGTGGGTGCGCTGGGAGGAACCGAGCCGCTCTCCCGCGCTGTGACGGCGGGCTCTGCCTGCGCCCTGCCTCGGGTAACCCTTTTGTACGCTCCCATCTTTTCTATGTTCTTCCCCGGGGGCCGGCGGCGTCGCCCGGCTGCTGCGGCCGGGGGTGGCAGCCCGGGGACGGACGGAGCGGTGCCGTGCCGTTTCTCTCCCTGCACCTCTTTTCTGTGATGGTGACGGTACGTCAAGAGCAGCCCGAGAGCGGGTTGCCCCTGCCCCAGGGCTCGGGGAACACCTCGCTGGGGATTGCTCTTTTTGGCACTGTAATAAAAGGGACGGAGCGAAGGGCGCGGGCCGGGCAGGGCTGGGCTGGTGCCGGTGTTTCCCTGCCCCGGCATCGCTCCGCTCCTCGCCGTGCTGCTGCGCGGAGCCGTGCCTCCGTCCCTCTTGTGCAAGGGGCCTTGAGCTCATTTTTTGGCAGCGAGTGGGTACGACGGCGGCGGCGTGCGGGGGCAAGGTCCCCAACCCCAGGGCCAGCCGGGGCTCAGGGGGAGGCCGGGGCGTTTTGGGGGTGGCAGGGAGTCGGCTCTCCCAGCGGCGCGGGGGGCTCGAGCCGTGTCCCCCGAGGGTGCCGGGGTCTGGCAGGGGGACGCAGCGAGGGGACACGAGGCGACGTCGCCCCGCTCCTGGGGCGAGGGGCTGCGCCACTTCGTACGGGGGATTTGGGAAGTGGCCGCGGCGGCAGCTCGGCTGCAGGTGCAACGCAGGCTGCGTCACCCGGGGGAGACCCGGCGTGGCCGCGCCCCGGGCCCGAGTCCTTTTGGTTTTCTTTCTGGTGAAACCACGTGGCAATGTTGTGCCAAACACAGAAATAGAATCCTGGAAACGGAGACGTGGCCCAGGGTTTTTCTTGATCGTCTTCCCTGCTCCGGGGTGAGGCCACGGTTCCTCCTCCCGCCTTCGTGCTCTCCCGGGGGGGATGGATGCCACAGGCAGCTGGGGACAAAGCACCCTCCCCGCGGCCCCTGCCCGTGTATTTCACCTCGTGGTACCCTGAGCTCAGCCGGGTTGGGCTTTTGTGGGGAGCGGGGACGTGGTGGGGGAGCGGAGGGGTGTGCTGGGCCATGTGTGTGTGTGTGTGTCCCCAACGGTACCAGCCTCCGGCCCCTCGCTGCCCACGGGACCCCTGGGCCAGCGCTGTCGCAGCCCCGGCCACAGTGCCCGCCGGCGCCGCGGGGGGGGGT